GGGTGCCCCACGTGGAGGTAAGTCTATCGCACACCCCATACGTGAAATATAATGTTTTGGAAGGGTTATTTATAGAATGTAGAAGGAATAAAGGCTTGGAAACCTTTCATAACGAGTAATTATGTAATCACATGAATTGAATGTTCGTAGACTTTATTTAGTCTCTCAATGAAAGACTTGGGCACCTGGTAATAGCAAGTTACCGGGAGAACTCTGGTTTTCCTGAACTCCATATAGATCTTGTCAATCGCCTTAGCAAGTTATGGCTCCCTCAAATTAATCATTGATTTATCGACTTATTTTTCATATGTCAAAGCATTGTCACATACTCTACATGAGTTCACAGCCAGCCACATTTCGAATAAATAGTTTGGCACCTTCCTATTGGTCAAAGTAGCCCACAACTTGGTAAGTCATCTTTCCAATGGTACCAATCTATCCATCGGTGACTTCTTGTCCCAATTTAATTGTCAAAGACCTGTCAAAATATAGATTCCACACATATGATTTCTCTCATCAACAAGAATTCGATTTTACTTTGTAGGAGAGGAAACCAACTCAGGAAATTGTTAAGAATCATCTTTGAAATTTTATCACAACTTGAAATAGCAAAAAATGGTTAATTATAGGACATTATTTTATTTCAAATGGCAGATTTTATGATATTTATCATAACCCCTTAAAATTTGACTGCGGCTTCCCCCATGGGTGGGGGGTACATATAAAGCAGTTAATTTATAGGAGTTCAATAGCTTTCTTCTTGCTTCCCAGTATCTCTGGCTTTCCGTCGTTGTCTTTAGAGCAGAACACCGAATCAGGTGGATCTTCTCCATTTCCTCCTGTAGGTTACATGGGGGCATGTGGGTTGAGCGTATACTTCCAATCGTGCCAAGCAATCGTGTCCGGTACGTAGTCTAAACTCAGCAACGGCTTCGATTCTTGGCCAGTCGGGTATGTCGGAGAGTGCCACTGTCCACTGTTTCTCCTTTGTTCAAGCTTTAAGTTCTTTGCACCTTGAGGTCTGGAATTCTCTCCTGATTAAGGCCTTCATTGTGTGGAAAGACATCCCCTTCTTAGCAAGTGTGTCAGCAAGCTCATTGTCTTTGATGCCACAGTGACCAGGAATCCATTGCAGGAATACTGTTTAGTTTTTCTCTCTCAGCACCCGATAGAGTTTTCTACATTCCTTTATCTCAGCTGTTTTGGGTATCTCTGTTTCCACATTAGTTTATTGCTGACTGTGAGTCCGAAAGTATCACGCTCTCTGTTTCCAATTGAGTTTATTGTTGCCTGTGAGTATCTCTGCTTCCAATAGAGTCTATTGCTGACTGTAAGTTCGAAATCTACTTCCAATTGAGTTTATTGCTGACTGTGAGTTCGAAAGTGTCTATTGCTGACTGTGAGTCCGAAAGTATCACCGTTTTCTACATTCCTTTATCTCAGCTGTTTTGGGTATCTCTCTGTTTCCAATTGAGTTTATTGCTAACTGTGAATCCGACAGTATCACTGCTTTGGTGAATTTCGTATCCAGGCAATATAATTGTCATGGTGATATCCTAATGGCCTCTATTTCTCCTTCGAAAGCGGATCTATTGTGTCCCACTGCTGCGTAGAAAGAGAAGAGTTCAGAATAGACACCTGCACCAATGTTTGCTTGATTTTCTATGTATGACCCGTCAGTGAAGACTTGAAGCCATTGTTCTGCAGGATAGTTGACATTGATTGTCTCAAGGGCCAGTGAGCGCATTTGTTCTGGAGTGGTGTTTGATTTCCTGAAGTAGTCAAGCAGTTGGGTGCAACACACTACATCAGTGTCTGCTAATGGGTTCATGGGGAGAGAGAGGCTTTTTGGTTTGTCATCGATTTGTAATGCTTTCTTCAGCTCTATGGCTTTCTGTATTAGACCAGATTGCGTTTTCAGATGTCTTGGTCTATTCTCATAGGTGCTGAAGAACTTATCCATGGGAATGCTCACTAGCTTCTCATGTAGGATAAAGGCCTTTTATTTGATAAGGGAACATATTGTAGTGCTTCCTGTAACTAGGAACATTGCATCAATAGGTGTTGATTTTTGCGAGTTGAGCGTGCACAGCCCCATACGCAAGGTTTGGCTGTTTGTGCCACTAAGCCAAGCCGATAAGGCCTGGATGGCGGAATTGCTGGCGAAATCCCTGTTAATAATTAGAGGACATTGAAATTAAGAAACGTTACTTGATTCAGGGTAATTCTTTAAAATGATTCTGATTTCAAGCGTAAAGATATTAATTGCACCTGAAAAATTTCATCAAAAAGGGTGCATGGTGGAAGCAAATGGGTATTTAATTGTTAGCAAGCCCGTCATTTGCTTGAGAATTAAGTAAATTTCCCGTTATGATGGGTATCATTAGCCATTTAGTTGACTTCGGGCTTCACAGAAAGGAAGATGAACATCCAAGTGGTAAAAAGTCGAGAGGGGGACAGAATAATGATTCACAGACGTAAAAGAGACAGACAGAGAGACAGACAGACACAAAGGTAGAAAAAAGGTGAGGTGAATACTGTGGTATTATTCGAATATGAAATGTAATGGGGTCATAGTAGTTTGAAGTCAGAAGCCAACTGCCAGTTTATAGACTTTTTTGCCGTATGAGTATACGTTGCCCAGGGTGCACCACGTGGAGGTAAGTCTATCGCACACCCCTGTCATCAAAATAAATTTCAGAAATATTTATTGCTTAAAGTGTCAGTATTGTAGTTATCATTAGCCATTTAGCTGGCTTCGGGCTTCACAGAGGGAGGAACATCAAAGTGAGAAAATTCGTGAGGGGGAGCAAAAGAGTGATTCACAGATGTAGAAGAGACAGACAGACACAAAGGAAGAGAAAAAGGTGGGGTGAGTACTGTGAAAGGGGCCGAATATGACATACAGTGGGGTCATGGTAGTTTGAAGTCAGAAGTCAACTGTCGATTAATAGACTTTTTTGCCGTATGAGTATACGTTACCCAGGGTGCACCACGTGGAGGTAAGTCTATTGCGCACCCCGTAAAAAAACATTTCTACTTATAGATATATTAAAATAAATATCAATGGCTAGAAATCGGTTACTCTGATAATATGAGGCATATAAAAGATTGTCATGGTTATCATTATGAAACCGCACATTTTAAAAGTGTCGCCTATTTTTATATTAGGTGTATTATAGTGCATAGAATATTCACTTCCATCAGCGCCGTGGTTTTCAGTCGCCTCGTGGAACAACCTGCTGGACTAAATCCAAATGCTCCTTCAAGTGGTTTTCCCATTCTATCCTATATTAAAGCCGTTTTTACATTAGATTATTAATTTTATTTTAATAAAAATACTATAGTTATTACAAATTAAAAGTTATTAAAATCATAAAGCCCTATATATCTACAATACAGCCAATCCCATCGCTCAAATCTAACCATTTTAGATGATAGGAAATCGTAAGAAAATTCGGTTCGTGTTGTAGGAAATTTTACTTCTCAATTATCAGCTCAGCACAAAAAGTGAACACGAATAGCTGTTTTGTCAAAAAACAAGCATTCTTCTTACTACCAAGGAGAAAGGGTGGTATGCCGTATTGCAACCTCGATTTCTATGTTAGGATCCAAGGTGACCTAAAATTGAGTAATTATATTCTTTAGGCATAAGACTTTCTCCGTTCTCATCTTCACAGCCATTATTTTGTGCTTCTTTGTTGGTGCTCTCACAGACCTCCAAAAGAATGTTAAAATGTATATGAACTGTGGTGAGTTTCGTTGTAGCCCAATTTGAGCCTAGCTGTGGGATTCCTTGGGCAAATTTGCTGAACTAGTCATGTGCATTTGCGTTTCCGTCTGGGAGTAATTCAAATTCTAATTTTATTGCCAGATTTAAGAAATCTTCTATCCTGTTATTATCGGAAATAACCTTATTGGTAGTTGTTCACAATTTTTCAACATTCTTGGTTATATTACGAGAAACTAAAAAAACTTATTCGATTTGAGTTTTAGACTATAGTAAACATAGATCTCCCCTGTTGCTTGCCAATTCTTCTCTCCGGGTTCAGCGAGTTTGATGCCCAACTCCCATTTCACAAATTATATCTGAGCATGTCAAACATCAGTTCGAATTAGCAGCTTTGGAAAGTTTAACTCCATATGTCGAATTTCTGTAGCTAGTAGACTTAAAGTGCGGTGAGGTCAGATTCGAGTTAATTTAATACTGATTAAATCCATTTTTTTCTTTAAAACGGAGCAGATTTTGCCTCTGTAAAAGTCTTTGAATTAATTTTTTGTGGAAGTCCAAAGATTATTTTTGAAACTTATATTTTTGAATGAACCGTGAGTGCAAAAATAGCCAATAAATTCTTTTCAGGATAGGGGGAAAATTTGATGATTTTTCAACCTTTTTTAATGAACATTAATGAGGGAAAGTAATGGAGACAAACTTAGTAATTGGTTCGCGAACCCAATGTACTAATAAAATACACAATACCATGAAAAATCATTTGTACTTAAATATAGTAAATGCTAATTTTTAATAAAAGATTTAAGTTAGCAAAAGATGTAGCACTGTGGCATTAAAGGCAATGAGATTGCTGACACACTTGCTAAGAAGGGGACAACAATTTTGCAATGCATGGACCGGCCCATGTCTTTCCACAGAATGAAGGCCTTAATCAGGAGAGAATTCCAGACCTCAAGGTACAACGAACTCAAAGCTCGAACAAAGGAGAAACAGTGGACAGTGGCACTCTCCGACATACCCGACTGGCCAAGAATCGAAGCCGTTGCTGAGTTTAGACTACGTACCGGACACGATTGCTTGGCAAAACACCTTCACAGATTGGGAGTATACACTCAACCCACATGCCCTCTATGTAACCTACACGAGGAAATGGAGAAGACCCACCTGATTCGGTGTCCAGCTCTAAAGACAAGGACGGAAAGCCAAAGATACTGGGAAGCAAGAAGACAGCTAATGAACTGCTATTAATTAACTGCTATAAATGTACGCCCCCCCCTCTTGGGGGAAGCTGAAGTCAAAGATTAAGGGCTAATGATAAATATCATAAAGCCTGCCATTTGAAATAAAATATAAATAAAGATGTAGTATAATGGTAATAAATAAGAAATTATGAAAAATGACTTATTTTAATGAATACCCACATCTTATTAAAGTTAAGCTGTAGCCGATTGCGTTGAGAAATCTTTTGAAGGCATGATGTTTGGCGAATTCTACCTAAATTCTGGAATTTGAGCCTTTATGTCAACGATGTGGAAGGTTTTCAGAGCGTTTACTCTAGTTTCGGAGACGACTTTAAATAATTCAAACCCGTAATTTGCTTTTTATGTCCAAATTATTACGTTTGGCCTGACTATTGGCAATACTGTGAAACAAACTGATATGTTTAGAATTTTGGAAGTGCCGACCTTAAGGCTTCCATAACGCAGGTTTTGTCTTTGGACTGGTAAGTTGAAATTTGAAACTTTTCTCTTAAAACCCAGCAAATAATAGGCAATAAAGAGAGTAAAGACCGATGAAATTGCTTAAACAGTAACGTTTCAATAGATTCCATCAAGAAGGCTCGTTGAATAAAAACAATATGATTCTTTCTAATTTCTGCGCGTCAAAGGAAGAAAAATATATATATATATATATTATTTGAAAGAAGGGCTATTAGTTCAGGAAGTTGTCTCATGTCGAAAAAAGTTATACTTATATTGAAGAGGAAAAGTGATAAATGATTGGCTGAATGGAGGACCAATGTTAGCAGCGGTGGTTTCTTCAAAAATGATTTTGTGCATCGCATTTTGAGCGTGGCAAACCAAAAAATCGATATTTAAGTGAATGAAGTTACGAGTACGCCTGGCGCACTTTTAGTGCATCGAAAATAGTCAAATTGGGTTTCTAACGATGTAGATATATTTGAAAATAAACAATTTTGCCGATCGTCTTCTTCTCCGAATGGGCACATTTGATCTGGATTTGTTTAAGTCACCGTAAATGATTGCGAACCATTGGTCTTGATGGCTAACTTTTAATACATTTGCCAAAGTTTGCCTTGAAAGCTAAATTTCACATAAATGGGTTCGAGCAATTCTTTGGAATATACCTTTTAATAACTAAAAGCATCTAATTTTTATTACCGTCTTTCTTCATTATAAGTAAATACCCCATAAAACTTATTGTTGCCCTTTCAAAATCCCACCTTCGATTTACTATTTCTGTCTATTGCATTAAATAAAAACTAGGAAACACAAAAATAAGGATATTTGAAAATAGTGCGCATTTTTTCGCCTGCCTAGAAAAGTCAATTGAAATTCATTTTCGTAACAACGTATTTAATTCACTCTACCGGCAAGCTTTTATTGCATTTTAAATGAATGGCATTAAATTACTCACCATCACTCATGTCCCATTAGAAAAAAGATTTTAATTTGTTTTAATATATCGAAAATATTTTAGTGCGCATACATTCTAAATGGGTCTTTCATTAGAAGTTCAATTATGTCTATTTTAAACTTGACCATATTCGTTGACTGATCGGCAAGGTACGTAATTAAATCGCATTACTGTACATTTTATAAAGTATTATTAACTGAATGCTGGGAAATAATAAATATTCATTTTGCAAATGATAACGCAAAATAATTAAATAATTTTTAGCACTTGATAATATTCGAGAGGCAGAAATGGAAGAGTGCCATGTTAAACGTTCAATGTGCGGTTTCTTATCTTATCTGAATGAAAAACCCATTGATTCAGAGTAAATTTCCGGATTTTCGTGTTTGTTCAGTGTATTGATATTCAAAAATTTTTGGTAGGTAGGCACTCCTTCCATGCTGATTTATCTTCACCTTCTTACAGAGCTATGGTTGAAAAGGGAAGCAAATGTGTTTTTAACAAGAGAAATCTCACTAGGGTTCGTTACAAAATAATCGTTTTCAAATCTTAATGAAATAAGGTCATTAAAAACACTTTGCACATTGACTTATTCATCACTAAAGGAAGCACACAGCAGAAACGGAAAATATGTAATTATTTTGAAAAAAAGTTAAGCTGCTTTCTCTAACTTAGGTTAGGAACCAAGACATGAAGTATCTTTCAAATGTGAGAAATTAGAACATTTTTATCAGATATAAAAACAGAATAAACTAAAGCTTATTAATTCCAATTAGGGTTTCTGACCTTTGTAATTAAGATGGCAAGTCGCAAAGTTCCCTGAAACGCAAGTAAGCATCTTTCAAAAGAAACCTAACAAACTTTACCGGACTCATATGGTGACTCTGCCTTAACTCCCAAACGCCTATTTATCGAACGTTCATCAGGCGATCGACAACGAATCAAATTTGTGCAATTGCGTCCCATATAATAAATCATCTTTCACTTTTTCTTAATCAACATGCATCTGGATCTCTCAATAACTTCACCTCCTTTCTCTTCTCCCTCTCTCTACTTCACTATCTCTCTCTCATTCCTTAAGAACGTCGGCTTTGTAGGAAGGTATCACTTGAACTAATTAGGTCATGTTCCTAAAGGTTTTCCACTGACTTGCTTTAGTGATACTTTAATTTTAATTAAGCGTTCAGCTAATAAGGACAAGTAGTACAATAAGTAAGACTCCATTGTAATAGATAAGGGAGATTAAGGGGAAGAGAAGAGAATTTCACATTAAAAAGTCTACACTGGAAGTAGTGACTGAAACATACATCCAATTACATAATAATAATCTGTGGTTACATCCAGAAAAGGTGATGGAATAATACCGCTAAAAAATGAAATTGTCATTGATTGTGGCAACGAAAAAATGCCATAATGCAATTAAACTAAATATGATTAGCACCAAAGACGTTAAGTTGTTAGTATTTCTGAAGGTGTTTGCTCGATGAAAGTGTTCTAATGCAATAAACATCGACTCGACGCCTTATTCTTGTTTAGTATCAATTAAGAGCATGCAGATATCTGGCTGAATCAGTAATTCATTTACTATGGATCAAAGTTGGTCGTTAAAGGGGGGTTCCTTCACCTTATTTTTACGGCTTTACTCATAATGAAAACAGCTTAACAGCAGTAAAAAACTGAAGTGAAAAGTGAAAAGTTTATAAAAGGACCACCTGGTTAGATAAAAAACTTTTTATGTTTGGGACATACTTATTCCTTTTTATTAAACCTTACAAGTATCTTTAGATCAGTAACACTTTAAGCATATCCACCTTTCCAACAAACTGAAAAAAGACCAGATTATGAAGAAAATTTGTTCCATTGCTTCTTTTGGTATAACTTTTGGAATGAAGGTCACGATTTGTTTAAACCAACAGTATGTTTTTGCGCTAGTAATAGTTCACATGTCGTTGGGGATGAAATGTGACATGCAATATTTAACGTTTTTGTATGAAAGGGAGTCTTCCTGGCATCTGTTGGAATTCGCAAAGTTTTAGTATGCATTCCTTCTATGTGGGTAATTTACTGGTCAATAGCAATTGACTTATATTGTAAAATTGTACAACGTCCTAATAACATTAATTAAATTATGATGAAGCTGATTTCGCCTCACTTAAAATTAGACTTGTATTTAGAAGAAATGTAATATTTCTGCAGGATTATTCTTTTCTGATCTCATTTTCTTAAATTTCAACGTAGTTGAGAAGTGAATACTATGTTGGATAATTGAATTAGCTACTGGCTCTCATCGCAACTGGATAATAATCCAGTTAATGTATACTCTTAGGGGGGTAGAATTTCTGTTGACTTGCACTCCAAATTCAAATGCTGCGAATTTATAACGGATTTATGGTGCAACTTTCCCGTCAGAGGTGCAGATCATGGTAGAATTTCCCCTTCGGGGCGATTGCTCCTACAATGCATATCTCACCCAATGAGACCATATATGAAGCGATTAGGTTATGCTAAACAGTTAATTGGAAATATGTGCAAAAATGAAGAATTGCGCATATTGGAGTTGTATTTAAGACAAACGTGACTCCGTGAAGCAAACCAAGCCTAAATATAATTATAACAATAGAGCCAACAATTTTGCAAGATGGGAAAATGCGGAGGATGCTGCGGTGGATGTTGCGGTGGATGTTGTGATGACTGCTGTTCGCCGTGCTGTGATGACTGCTGTTTCGATTGTGGGGACTACTGTTGCATCTGCGCTCCATGCTGTAAGATTTCCCTAACACGATTAAAAATTGGGTTAGAGGGGGGCGGGGCGGGGCGGG